AAGGGTACAAAAGTGGAAATTAAACATTTCATGACATATTAGAACATCTATACTGTACATGTGATCATACACCAGTAACCACCACCACAAATATTTGCATTGTTTTGTGCATATGCTCACATTATTTTCAGAAAAGAAAAAAGAACCACATACCCAGTTATTCAGATTCGGAATTTTGAGGGAAAAAAATGTCAATCATGTAGTATTATCACCAGAGCATTTTTATCTAATATTAAAATTTTAAGGGTTAGATAATCGTTAACATCAATATGCAAATCTAACTCAGTAATGAGAGAACTTCAATATAGCCTTTCTAGTATCATGGAAATAAATATACACAAATCTACAAGCCTATAGTTGGACTTCCTCATCTGGAGCAGTTGCATATGCCTCTTTGACTTCATAGGGCCTTTCAAAGCCTTGTTTGCACTGGCTGAGTACTTTAACCCACATCACAAAGATGTGGCCAATTTACAAATAAAACCGTTCAGCAAAGTGTCACCCACACCACATCATATTTTTCCATCCAAGACCAATTCCATTTGTTTTTACAGATTGGCAAAATCCTTGATGTTCAAGCCATCCTTCCTCTGGACAAATTGACATTCCATTGCAGTACTTTATTTAATAAAACATTTATAAAACACACTGGTGTACATGCGGAATCAGTATATATTTTAATTATAGTCTATTTGGAGAGGATTGCCCCCCCCCCCCCGCCTTTTCTTATACACATGGTGCACCAAATGTCACTGGAACATATGGATACTATCCTATTATCGCCTTTAAATTCAGCGAATTCACAGAGCTAAGTCACGACAGAAATAGTTTTAATCAAACAAACCACAGACAAATTTAGGAGATGTTGTAATTAAAATCATCTAGATCTATGTTAACATGATAATTTGAAAGAACTGAGAACGTTTAACATAGTTAGATCAAGTGATAAAAGGCTGCTTTTGGTGCATGTTTATCCAATGACAACTTATGTTCTAAATTTTCACAGGGTGGATTGTTTACAGCTAGATGAAGTACACGTGGGTAATGAAAACAAAGAGCGATTGAATGGGGTCTGGACATTTCAAAGAGGGCTAGATACCCCCCCCCCCCGAAAATTGAACCTATTCTTCCGGTTTTTTTTCTCGAAAAATCCGGAAAACACCGGAAGAATAACACCCATGACAACCAAAAACATCAAGGTGCTGTGAAGTATAATACTAGGTTCAATCCAGAATGGACAAAGAAGAACCCATGCATCCTGCCTGAATCGTCCAGTAACAAATATTAACAAGAAAATTATATAAAAAACATATAGGTAGTCGAACCTAACAGTTCTTCATATCACTATTTTCAAAATTTACTGTTTTTAAACTATTTGAGCTAAAATAATTTACAAACTTAACAGCTTTGTTTAATATTTTGAGAAGTTATGTCTGTGCAAGCAGAACATTTAATGTTTTCCACTATATTAATAATAATTCCAAAATGAGGCAAAAAAATCTACAATTGGGGAGTGTATTTTCGATTTTTTTAATTACTTCATCCAAAACAAATTTTAACAAGTAAAGAAAAAACTTTTAAAAAAGGATGTAAAGGTAGGGATGGCTAATATCAATCCTTCAAAAACAATGCAAATAAGATAGTAGGAATAATGCAAATACCATGAAGGATTCATATTAGCCATTTCTACATTTACTTCTTTTTTTTTAATGTTTTTTTTCTTTTTCTGTTTAATGCAGTGTTTCAATAGACATAGGAAGGTTGTATTTACAATTAAGTTCTAAATACAATGAAGTTTCAACTGTAATATTTATTGTCTATCAGATATAAAAGACTATTTAATGCAGGTAGTATTCATTAATGTATTTTGTGATTTAATATTACATGAGATGTTTAATTGTTAAAAGCATACTATTGTTGAAAGTTGTGTTTGTAAGTTATTGATGTCAAGGCTATCTAGCGTTGTGTGCAATCTACTGATGTCGAGGATATAGATATTTCTAGGTCTAAGAGATAGACGTATAAATAGTGGTAAGCAGACAGAAAAAAAGAGAGCCAAAGGTAAAGCCGAGTGAAAGAGAGTTTCGGTCAGAGAAAAGTTAGAGAGTTAACCATAAGAGTGAATAGCATAATGGTTTATATGCTAAAGTGAGATTAACAGTTTTCTGACAGTTTACGAAAATAATTTGTCAAAGGGTGTTCTAAAGAAATTTAATCTGCCTGTGTGGACTTTTACAAAAAACAGACGAATATTTGGAAGCAGGCCTATATGTGTAAAGCAGACGTTTATTGGAAGTAGGCCTAAATACGAAAAAGCAGACGAGTATCGGAAGTTCAGGATACAACTGTGGTAACTCAGCGATAGCATAATTGAATTATACACCGATACTGTTGTTATATAAGAAAAGGAGAGAGAGAAGAAAAAAAAAGAATAAGTGAATTATACACTGATAGTGTATAATGAGAGTATCGGAAGTTCAGGATACAACTGTGGTAACTCAGCGATAGCATAATTGAATTATATACCGATACTGTTGTTATAAAAGAAAACGAGAGAGAAGAAAAGAATAAGTGAATTATACACTGATAGTGTTTAAGAGAAAAATAACTCAGCTTGTCAACTGAATTGGCCTAAGTGGACTTTTGACAAGAACTGTATTGTATTTATGATACAACTATGATATACATAGCGTAAATAATTTTTGTACTTACGTTTAACTTGTTTTGAATATATCATTTTAAGACAAGCGAAGTGCGTGCTGTTAATTTATCATTGAATTCATCGCCAACAAGTCACAGACACTTATGTAGAAGAATCTTTAGCCCAACACACACCAATATATTTACTACTATATATAATATTAACCAAGCCCATTATTTTGACATTGTCTATGTTGTATTGTTTGGTAATTCCTGTTTCACCCTGTACTTACGCTTTATAAAGGAACACCAAATTTCTATAACAAACCTAACTTACAGTGATAATGATAACATAATTTACAATAGATGTTTTTAAAATTACTAAAAGTTTTTAATAATACTTATAACAGTCAATACTACGTTTGAAGGTATGTCCCCTGGGGGAAATTGGTTGATACACTTGTTTTCCTTTTTGAATTTTCATGTAATTAAAAAGAAACAGAAGAACAAGAAACTCAAACTTCTTACTATGACATTCCCAGAACTTGTGTCTCAATCATTACATAGACATTGTTAGAAAAGGAAACACTATATAGTATTGTAAAGTTCTGATGACCTATTTAAAATATTTTCATGAACAATCTAACCTTTTCCTACATAGACAATTCTACCGCCTGCCTAGTAAAACTTACAACAAAATAAAATTTTAAATTGCAGCTTTTCAGTCATAAAGTTACTTTAGAGAAATCTATGGGGATACATTGCAAATAATCTTTAAATGTCGCACATTTTCTCCAGGTTAATATTTGGAATGCATTAAGGCATATTTTCATTACTCATCAAATTTCAGCCGTGGAGGTTTTTGTGAGAAATTTACGCCACTGCAAGTTTTATATACATTAAAATACATCCTTATTTCCACATTTCAATCTATTCATGAAAATTTCAACGAAGTAGCTTTGGGTATATATCTAAAATTGTTATTTCTCATCATTTTTTAATGTTTTTTGCAAGAAATATGTACCATATATATAAGCTTTGCAAAACATTACTGTATACAATTTTCTAAGGTTTAATTAAGCCTTGATGTTTCTTAGGAACTTTGCCTAATGATTTACTTTACTATTAAAGAAAATATACACCATGGTAAGGCCATTCAAAATTAAGAATATTCAGTCAAAAGTTCCAAATCTTGAAGATCAGTGTTTTTTCCCAAAATATTCAGTTTATCTATATTTCTGGAAAAGAATAAAAATCCTATTTAATTCTTGGAAAATACATTTTTCATTAAAAAGTTTTATTTATATAATTATAGTAACAAACTCAAAGTTTTTATTTGAAACTACATTATTAAATAAAGTTTGTATATTTATAGAACAGAACTTTCTACAGAGAGCCGAATTTTGTTTACCTTATCACTGCTACTTTTAACAAAACTACGCGTTAATTTTAACAAACTTGAACTATTAATAATTGACTGTGTAATAATTTTGTTCTACTAATCCTAGACCAGAAGTGAAACCACAAGTCACGATGAAACATGATGGGGCATGCTATGTACATACAAAACAAGGAATCGGTTGTGATTAATAAAAACTTCTCACATCTGTTTTAATTATAAGTGCTGCTAAAATTACATATACTTTTCTAGAATGTTAACAAAAACATTTGGATTTCTTCTCCTAAACCAAATCTGCAATGGTTCACATTTCTAGAAATTCCATATTAAATATTTCGCATTTACTACCACTAGATGTCGAACCTTCACCGGTTCACTTGACAGTCTAGGTACGCTATCAACTATTTCAAGTCTTACACAAAACCTTGATATTTTTTATTGCACCACAATCTTTCTTGTTTAAGTGCCATTTCAACTTGCATCTTGTTTCTAATTGAAACCGTTTATCAGTATACGAGTTTCAACTATTTTCCATGAACAACTTATGATTCCCAAAGTTCCAATGGATTACAATTCGTTCCACATAAACACTAACGTGTGTGATAAATGGTTTTAACTAACTATGCAGCATCAGAATTTAACACTTCGAGTCATTTTAACACAATTAATTTATGTGAACAAAATAACCTGTATAAACCTATTGCTTGAGAATATATATAACTTTGTAATACTTTTGGGTATTAAAATTCCAAATTGTTGATGTTAGATTTCTCTTTACCATACATAAAATAGAAAATATGTAATACCTGATGCATAGACTTAATATTACTATTAGGCCTCTAAGTCATCTATATTTTCAATTTTATCTTTAATTAAAAGAAATCTGTTTTTTAATACCACAGTATTTCGGACAGCTTTGATTATAAAAAAAAAAGTAAATACGAAGGAACCACCAAGGAAGTTCGTTTTAGGACAAACACCTTTATTCGACAAGTTAACTTACATACTGGGTTCAAAGCTACATTAATAAGACTAATATCAACGGCAACATGATGTGAAGATCAAAATTTCATTCAAAAGGAACATGATAAAAAGCACGTGTTTGATCAAAACTGTCATACTAAAAATGGTCCTTATGTGTGGCAGAAAGCTTTTTTAAGAAAAAATTGATATTTCTTAATTACTACAAGAAAAACATTATTAATTTTTGTGCTCGCAAAAAAACAAACAAAAAGGCGGCAAAAATCTCAAAAGTTCCTGCGTTTCTTGTCTTCCAGGATCACCAAAATAACCATAAAAAACTACCACTATTCAAGACTGTGCTGTTGATATACTAAGTGCTACGTTATTACCTACAAAATTTATCATTTTCTTAGAGTGAATCTAATGTTGAAAAACTCAACATTGCCAGTTCTAAGTGTTTTGTCATGCTTGGTTCCATAACAATCTACACTAACAATCTTTTCATACCGTGTAGCTAAAACGCATGATACAGATCAGGACAAGAAAATCAGATTAATTTCTTAAGTTCATCTGTTTCTTGTTAAATGTTACATTTACTTAAGCAGCAGCTTATTTTCGGAGATTAGTTGAATAGCGTGCTACTCAAACTAGGGCTATTATTTGGTAAATGACCACATTCCGAAACCTTACACAGATTCCAAGGCAGGAAGATTTCGACCCTTTACCTTCATTACAACTGGCAGTAGAGAATATTTTTAAATAACCAGGCACTGCTGCAGTAATTAAAAAATAAACAAATTTAAAAGGTGAACACGAATTTGAATAGTCAGAACACTTCTGAGTGGTCTTTTTTTTTTTCTGAGTTATATGTTATTTTTAAGAGTTTTCAAATTTTCTAGGTAGCATCAGTCCATTGAATAAATATAAGATATCAATGTTTTTGCTTAAAAAAGTAAAGTACAAGAAAGTCCAAAACTTTAAACTAATTGTTCAGAATAGTGATTCTACTTTTCACAAGGTACAGGTAAAGAGGAAAATCAAGGATTTGGACAAGTCAGTTAACTGGGCTTTACTTGGATTAGAATCTCCGACTTCATTTCCATGGTCCCAAAATGTGAAAGTAGCTCTTATAAATGTTTCGAAAAAAAAATGTATTTTTAATCTTTATTTATCAGTACATCATTTATTAGTTTCCCCTACCCAGCAGGAAGTTACAAACTCGTGTGGTTGTACAGGTTATGTACATATATAATGCAGCAGCAACATTAGCAGAAGAAAGGGATAAATCACTAAATGGTGATCACGATAAATATTTCTATCTTACCATGCAGTTCAGCTGACAATAACTACTAGTAGCAAACAAGCACACACTGGGAGAAAACGGAAGACAGGCGATGAGCAGGCTCCAGAAAAACACACGTCACACAATGCTAAGACTGAATCAGCTGTGGGAGTGTGGGGCTCGAACATCTCCCCTAGTCACTATCAGTCTTAACTTCAGCACTGCTCACACAGTAAGAAATGCAGCACCTTGTGCTCCCCCTGTTTGCAGGGGCTCAGTGCAAGCTAGAGGGAGCTAAAAACAAAGAACAATCATACAACAACGAAGCCTTCTCGTCACCCGCTAGAGACGAGGCAGTTTTTAGAGAAAAGCTTATAACCATGAATTTTGGGACCCCAACACTTGTATTTGGTATTTAGGGGTGGCAAAAAACAAGTGCAATGTGTATGTGTTTTTTTAACATCCCTGGTGATGTGCGTGGTTAGCCCGCTGTGCTCTAACATTATGTGCCACTTTTACAGACAAACACAGTATGTATATATTCTGACTAGAGCAGGAAAAAATTTTCCTGCAAACCAAATTACAAAATACACACAAAAAAAGATGTTCTTGCAAATTGTAGAAAAAAACAACAACAAACAAATACATCTTTCAGTAAAAAACTGTTATCTTATGTGTAATGAAACAAAAGTTTACTGATAAAGAAGTTGCATGTCTACCAAAGTTACACAAGCTAACCTGAGAGTTAGATCCAAGGCCCATTAGTCACGTCACATGATTTCCCCACAAAAAACGTTAATCCATGCTTCACATAAAAGAAACAAGGAATAAAGTACAACAAAAGAGAAAAATAAAAGTTTTTTTGACAAATTCTGTAATTTATGATGAATTCGTGTTGCAGTCACTAGATCCAGAACAGTGCTGGGACAAGCTCTTTGTTTGTGGGGTAGCAAAAATCTAGTTCCAGATTTTTAAGAAACTGTCCCAGGACCCAGTAGCTACTGCCATTCCATCTTCTGTCACACCCAAACAACTGACTCTGTTGTCATGTCCAGCAAGAACACCTAAACAAATCAAAACAAATAAACAGGTCATTCTTGATTTCCACATAAACGAATAAAAGACAATTTCTCCTTCTTAAACTATAAATACTACACACTTTATTGTCTACATGTATTTATTCTCTGGTAAAACTCTCAAGTAGATTTCATATTTTTAAATATATTTTCACTTGATAAATAGGAGAAAACATACCAAGTTTTTAAGAGCAATAACAATATCATTAAAATCATAAATAATATTCAACGTTAAACTGGTACACAGTTAAAAACATTTTATTTAGGCCTATCTATGGCCTTCAAAAAAGCTGATGACTACATGTTTCGACGTTACGTTCGAAGTAAATTTTTGGAAATCGTTGTTGTAAATGGCATCACTGTAAAAAAATGCTAATTATACACATATATAGGTTTA